GACCTTTGGCTAAAACTGTGGGAGGAAAAGGTGGGCCAGGCGGTTCACAGGCGTGTCATCACCAAACGAGGAAGTGTCATCACCACAAAGGCATTGAAGGTCTTATGTGTATGTGTATTCTCTCGATTCTTTTTACAGTATAGAGGGCCTTTGAGATGTTGGCACACTTGGAGGTTTGTTAGACGATATGCCGTTCTGCTGCAGCATTTAGCTTGTAGGTTGTCGCCATTCTGCTTCTGAGTGCTTTGGAGACTCATGGCATCGTCCGGAGTGCTTGACTTGGAGGCGTCGACAACAGCCTCTGTGGCTGATGCAGGGTCGGCTGTGGTGGCCCAGGCCACCAATCCAGCACACGTTCCAGATGAAGGCACCAACGCAGCAGGAGTTGCAAATGAAAGCCTTTTGGAGCGGACGCCGCCGCCCAAGCGCCTGCGTAGGTCCCACCGCTTCAGGATCGTTACAGAAGAGGAAGCAGACACATTGCCTTTGGATGAGCTCTTTGATGACAATACATGGATCTTGCTGAGTTCTGAAGTGAGTGGCTCTGAAAGCGGGCCATCAAATTCTGAGGCCAAGGAGGTCACCCAAGCAGAAGCACAGTAGGAAATACTGACTGTGCTGCATTTTCTGAACGAAATTGGGGTGTTCGTTCTTAATCTCATTTGTGTTGCCATAGGTAGCAAACTTGTCGCGACGCACACAAGGTGCTGCACAAAGAGTGTATGCGAGATGAAATTGGCCACTCCTGTTGATGCACACAAATTCTTCAAGAAGCTGAATGTCCTCACTAGGTGATATATATATATATATACGTACTGTATATATATACAGTATATATTTATACTGTATATACGAAGACATATTGTAGATAGTAGATATATACACTGTATACTGTACACACTCACACATTCATACCCAGCTGCCTGGGGACCAGCTCCTTGCTACTGTAGCGCTTATTTACTTGGGGACAGGGTAAGCTCTTGATTTGTGCAGTTCTTGTTCTGCTTTGGCTGTTGGTGATCCAGCTGTGCGGCCAAGGACTCTTTCCAACAGCAATAAGTCCTGGTGATGGCAAAGCCTGGTTAGACCTGCCTGAATACATGAAGAAGGAGTTCAATAGCTACGCAGACGGGGTGGTTGCCTTTACACAGAACACAATAGTACTGCAAGGGCCATTCAAGTGTCATGTTGTGTGTCGTCTTTCTGAGTCTTGTCTTTTGTTATCTAAGGCAACTTTCTTTGTTAAGATTTATGTTTCGTTCATCCATCTTCCTGTTGAAGGTTCACAGCCTCAACTAGATCGCAGCCAAGGACATGTCTGGGGACAGAGTCCAATGCGCTGAGCTTGCCATCCATTTTCTGAACCGTTTTTCCGAGTGGGAGATTCAGCTCAGTGGTGTGCACGGCAAGTGTTTGGAGATGTGTGGCAAACAAGAGGCGGTGAAGGTAGCAAATTCCAAGTCCCGATCAATTCGCAGACGGGTTTTTCGCAAATGGTGTCATAGCCTGAGAATTTGAACAAGCTTCCCTGTTAGCCACCTTAGATGAGAAACAGGTCTCACCGGGGCTGTGTTGGTACCAAAATCAAAAGCTTTACAAGAGCAAGACCAAAGGGTGCGAGCTTCAACTACAAGGACGCTCTTGCCAAACCTACCGCATATATTGCTGTATATACTGTAGGTTTGTTTTCTCACAAAACACATGTGTTTTCATCGGAGGAATGGTCGAAGTCGTACGTGTGACTTTCTTGTTAGCTAGCCTTCTTGATAGCCAGCCAGTATAGCTGTAAACAAATTCTCTTATATTGGATAATTACAGTACTGTACAGAGTTCCTCTTCGCAGGATGTGATCATCATGAGGAAGAAAACTCTCCAGACTCTGCATTGTCTGGTGAGATAGGGGTCAGCAAATTTGAGGACGATTGCGAAAAACTGCTCGCAGAGGTAGATGACGGGAGCGTGTCTTGCACGGCGGCGGGTTACTTTTTGCAGGGACCGTTTTATACTCAGCAGCATTGCAAGTTCTCAGCCGTCTAGCGCCATTCTTGAATCAATTTTATTTGTTTTCTGTATTGTGTTCATTGGAGCTGCATGTTCAAAGTTCTATGTAAGTTAGCCAACCTAAATAATAACCTGAACAAACCAGAAGCTAGGATTTTGGCGGAGATCAAGCGGTTTGTGCCCGTGTGGCTTGGCAAACCGTTCTGAATGCAAAGTAGTGGGCTGCAGAGCTTGTGGGTTTGAAAGGAAAAGCTTTGAACGAGAAAGCCAAAGCGGAAGGCCTCGCCACTAGCGGTGGACCTGAAAAGGTCCGCGGACGCTTCCTCTCCAAGTTTTGTGACTCGATCGCTATGCTGGCACCCCCATAATTTTTTCTTTGGCATGTGGAACTGTTTGCTGTCTTTGGTCTGTTCAAATTTTATCACCACGTCTTTTTGTACATATGCAAGGCCAGAATCTTTATGATGATGCTGTAGCAGGATTTGCTAAGGGAGAGGGCATCAAAACCAATCCTACTTGCAAGACAGTGGGTGCACCTACAGAAGTACCTACAGATGAGATACAGAAAAAAACACATTAAGCCTAGCTGCGCATCTGCCGGGGTGAAACCCAAAGAACATGCAGGTGGATCAGGTGGCCAGAAAAAGGACACCTGCTGTGGGATGAACGACTCCGCTGAGAAAACAAAAGGCGACCAAACCGCGCCATCAGCTGGCTCCGCCGCACTCTTCACGGGTGTTTTGGCTGAAGCGGCTCAAGGGAGTAAACCAAAGATTACTATGCAAGAAAAATTTAATGCCGCTGTTGACGGAATCGTGCCAGCGATTGCAGTGAAAAAGTTCAAGCAGATTCTCAACACCGTTGATGAGGACGCCGATTGCATGGTTGGCTACATGACAGCGTGTCCCAAGAAAGGCAAAAAACATACGAGGTTGTTATTTCAGAAGTTGGTGGCTGGTCACGCGGGCGACGAGGAAGGTGCTCAAGCAGTCGTGAAGCACTTCAAACCCAACCATGTTGTTCGTGCCGTTTTGTTGCCAGCAGATCTGCCACGCCGCCCCACCTCTGAGATTCCTGATGCTGCTGGTCGATGTTCAAACTGTTTAGTTTATGTTTTGGGGCACAATCCAAGCATTTCCAAAAATCTCTCTGCAGATCAACCTCCGAAGGTGGGTTTCCAATATTTAAGCAAGTACCACAATGACAAACCAAGAACTCAAACCAAGACGGTTCAAGCTGGCTCAAATCAGCAGGCTCAAACCGAGCCTGCAGGCTCAATTGGATTTTACAGCTGGGAAAACAATAAAGATACATAGAAATAATGTGCTGCAACAGTGGATAACTAAAGTAAAGGGACTTGGATGCGTGGCGTGGCTCGTAAACCCTTAGTTTGTTTTTTGGATTGATGGTTCAATTCCTTTTGTTTCCTTTCTTTAGGTGGAGTGAGATCATTTCTGAACAGATTTTCCTTTTCTTAAACATGCAGGACATGTGTGAAAAGTATGTGTCCTGCAAGAAATGAAGGAATTGAACCAACCAAACTAACAACTTGGAATTCAAATATGTTTTTTACTGTTTGACTTCTTCGTTTGACTTCCTGGTTTGTCGTGTCCCCCCGGGTCTCATCCAACACCGGCCCCGCGAAAGGACCGGTGGCTCCCGGTGAAAAAGTGGTCACCTCTCGGATCTTCCCCCATAAAGGGGGACCAGTAAGCTGTTGAGTTGAGTTGGGCCCGTTGAGTTGAATTTTGACAACTTTTGAAAAAATCCTAAATTTCAAGAAATGGCCTCAAACCTCTTGAAACACCAAGGAAAGACAGGAACTGAAGGAATATGACCAGGAAAATCACTAAGAATTACAAATTAACTAGCTACTTTTGGTTCACTTTTTCTCCTCTCCCCCTGTCTCTGTGTCTCTTCCCTTAACGGGGGGAGTCCGTTCGACTCTTCGGACCGCATCTCCGAGCGAAGAGTTGGACCTTTCGGCCGGCGCTCCCGTTAAGGGAAGAGACACACGGGGATCGACTCTCCGGACGCACGGCGGCTCGGGTGCCGAGAGATGTCGGTGAAGCATCGGTCACGGGAACTGTCTCTCGGCACCCTCGGCCCCGAAACTCCCCCCGTTAAGGGAAGAGACACAGAGACAGGGGGAGAGGAGAAAAAGTGAACCAAAAGTAGCTAGTTAATTTGTAATTCTTAGTGATTTTCCTGGTCATATTCCTTCAGTTCCTGTCTTTCCTTGGTGTTTAGAGTCTGTTTAATTAAAATTTTTGAAACATCGATTTTTCACTGAAAAACTTTGCTGGTCCGATCCTTTTCATCTCCTGTCCTTTCATTTGAAGGAACTATAATAATAGTTTGTGGTTCAAGTTCCTTCAGTGGTTGTCAGGTGTTCAACACCGAGCTTCTTGCCTTAACGGGGGGGAGTCCGTTCCATCTCTCCGGTGCCCACGGCACAGATCCATCCGGAACTTCCACCGTAGCCGGGGGACCGATGTTTCGTGACCGAAGTCCTGGAGTTTGACTTCTTCGTTTGACTTCCTGGTTTGTCGTGTCCCCCGGCCCCCCCGGGAAAGGACCGGTGGCTCCCGGGGCTGTGGGACGCAACCCCCAGGACCGGCTGTGGGGTCTCGAGACTCCACCGCGGACCCGGGGGGACACGACAAACCAGGAAGTCAAACGAAGAAGTCAAAGAATAAAAAAGGTATTTTGGTCAAAGTTTGAAAAGTCGGTGTGTGAAAGGTACCATTGGTGAGCTTCAAAACCTCTTCCAAAAACTTTGAAATGCAACTAAAAGGAGCCACGCCCCCCAGTCCGCGCAGTGCTCACATTGCGCTTAATTAGGCACAGCATCATACCCTCCAACACGCGCAGTGCTAACATTGCG